CGAACATATTAATATATAAATTACTAAAAATAACATGAAGAAGGTTCAAATATACAAAATTATTAATAAAACGAAATAATATAGGAAATTAACAATTATACTTTACTGATCAAAAGTGACTGCCAAAGACTTTAATAAAACATTATAGATATATACATATATTGTATCAACATCTTCTGTAGTTAGTTAATTAAAAAATGTAATAAAATGTTTTTTTAAAGTTAGAAAGTATGTTATAATTTTTCAGTGAAGTTTCATATGCAGCCATCTTTTTTTTGACTCCTCTGACAAATTACATTTTGACCGGAAATTGTTGGCAGCTACTTTCACTATAATTTTATTATTGTTACTTACTAAGAAACATCTAGATGCTCGAGGTTCACCGGCATAGGTTCTATAGTCAACTTTTTTAATTCTGTAAAGGCAAATGGAATTTTGTTTCAATTAATCGAGAATGTTACAATTGCAGATTTTTTTATCTGCGTTTCTTAGATTCGAGGAATGAGGAAGCAAGCCTTACTGTTATTTCCGGCAATAAGTGAAACAAGATTTCTCCCGCAGACTGTTAGTTCTGTTAAAATATTTCTTGCGCAACGAATGCTTCTCAATTCTTGGAGAGCACTGATGTCCAATTTCTCAATGCTATTTTCACTGACGTCTAGATGCGTTAAATTCTTGATTAAAAAAGAAATAAAAACGGTATCAGTCAATAATTATTACTCTAAAAGATTCAAGTATAAACACATTCAATTAGCCCAATCTTGATTACTTACTCCGTAATTTCCTAAAATAATGTTCCCTTTTAATTGATTATTTCGTAGGTTGACCTTGTACAAGTTATTCTGAGTGCTCCTTTCATCTTTGTAGCCTTTGTTATGATCGGTTTTTGGTAAGACATCCTAAAAATAATATATTTTTACTTGTTAAGTGTATAAAATTAAAAATTGGGAATGCTGTGCAAAGAGATTCTATGTGATCTATTTCAATATTAGTTATTATTAGACTACAAATATTTTTACACTTATGGCATATGCAGATTTTTAGGATGCAAGGAAACGTATTAATTAACGAGATCTAATTTTTATATTATTCTAAAGGGTAATGTTTTAGTTGACGAAGAAACTTTTCTTTAATCTTAATTTCCGTCAAATAATGTATGAAAATTAAAATTTTCATAAAAATTTGCAGTCAAGTTATCATTACACATTTATAAAAAATAATAAAATGATTTTATATGTATAAGAATGAAAGTTTTAAAGCCAGGGGTGCTTTGTTCTACAGCTACGGTTCTAACGTGATACCAGTTCATCTTGTGGCCACTAGGTGGCTTTGCGCTCGACAAAGTTCTCGAAAGTAATATTATTTCAGCCGCAGATATAACTAGGCTGGAAGACTGATGTCGTTACTCTGGTTTCCCTTCAAATCACGTATAAATCTTTCGCCTTTTACTAAAGATTTCCGTGGAGGGGAACAATTGATGAGTCTATGAAATAATTTTTTGTGGACCCGACGTAAGTTGGGTCGTAATGGAATGAAAACAAAAATTTTCAGGTTAATATTGAACGTTGAGATATTTGATCAAATAAGTTGTTTTATTTCAGTAGGAATTTTTGTGGTTAAGGTTTTTTAGTTGAAGATTTGTAGTTAATCAAACGATGTTATACATTATTGTTGCTGGTATTGAAGTAGAACAATTTAATTGACTTCTAGAATATGAAGTAGAATACTTAAAATTGAATTTATAAATTATATTAATATTGTGTAAAGTCACTGATTATAATTTGCACTATCATGATTGTACATTATACAATGCGAGAATGCAATTGAGATCAACTCTGTTGTTAGTATCTGTTCAAAATCAAGTTTGTTAATATAATAAATGATATTTATAAGATGTTATTTTGTAAATAATTTAATTTGTAATTGCGACATGTATGTATACAATTTTTAATTGGTGAAATTATTCTTACGAAAATGTGTGTGTGTGTGTGCATTTAAAAAATGTCAAAATTTAAATTTGAATTTATTTTT